GTCGAGCTCGAGGACGGTGTAGTCGGCGTTGATCTCGTCGAGGACGGACTTTGTGGCGCGGCAGTAGGGGCAGTAGGACTTTGAAAAGACGACGACCTTGTTGTCGTCGATGAGGGACTGAACCTTTTGCTTGGTGGCGGCCATGTTTGCTGGTGATGTCGAGGATGAGGAGAAGAGACGTCTGAATAGTGATGCCATTTCGGAGGGAGAAGAGTGGTGGAAGGAGGGGCAGGGGCGATGATATAATAAAAGTGCAGCAGGCGACGGGGAGGGACAGAAGGTGGGGGGTTATTTGTCAGGCAAAGTGTCGCAATGCAGCAGGTAGGGGCGGGGTGCTGGGTGCTGGTGCTGGTGCTGTGCTGGAGCTGGATGCGGTTCAGTTTAGTTGCGACGGGGACGGGACTTGCAGCGAAGGGAAAGGCAATTCGGGGCCGAAGGCGGCGGGAGTGGATGATGCAATCGGGACTCTGATTACCTAAGAGGTCGGGACTCTGATTACCTAAGAGGTAGACTGGGAGGTTCCAGACTGAGGTGCGACACAGCTGGCAGCAAAAGCCGAGTTTTCTAGAAGGTGGAGGTCACAGAGTTTAGTGTAACCGTACAACCGTGGTGTGGCTTCCAAATTTCGATACCTTTGGGAGCAAAGACCCGATTTATAAGACACCGGCTCTCCCGAAGCTCACCTGCCTCGGCGTGTTACACCTTCTAGGTACCCGTAGGTGTATTGAGGTTTGTCAGCTTTGTTCGGGCTCTTGAGAGCCACCCGTCGACAGCGAGATTCTACACCGGAGATGATTTGATGACCTCGGCGAAGAAGAGAGATGCGAAGAGGCTAATTCAAAATGGGCAATGAGCTCACCTCAGCACCGGAGAACAAATGGAGGGATCAGAGACAGGCTTGTGCCTCGAGTACCTAGGGTCTGTCGTAAGATGAGGTAAGCATTCAGATAACCGCCCTGGGATGAGGATAAGATAAAGATAAGAGGACCCTGGATTTCGGTGCATCTCGTGTTTCTGTCAATACCTACCTAGGTAGGTACCTTAGGTAGGTACTCTACGTAAGGTACCTTCACGAACACCACCATCTTTCTTTGGTTAACGAAAACATGAATGCACCCAAGATTCCACATGGGAGGCTGAGGGAATGAGGCTATCATACCCAAGTTGGGGGATCGATCTATCCGCATCACCCACAATTATTACCCGCGTCTAGCGCCTGACCGCATCCTCGGGCATCCTTACAGCGCAGCACACGTCTCGAGGTTCGTGATGACTGCCCGGTACGGAGTACACGGCAGGTAGATGGGTCAACGTTGTGGACGGGGCATGGCTGCTGGGTTGGGTTTGAAAGTCAGACGGGATTATTCCCGGGTCCCTGCAAGTATCGGCTGCTCGCCGAATCGCAGCCAATTGCTGATTCCGCCTGCCCCAGTTGTCGTCGTGCAGAGAAACCTCGAGGACTGGTGAGAGTTACCTAAGTATTTGCAAACACCAAGCCATTCCCAAGCAGGCTTCGTGTCCTCTTTGCCGCAGTTTTGCCTATACAAGAAACTATTTGAAACCTTTATTAACTGGTCCTTCTCAACCTGATATCCAAACCATTACCAGTCAGCGAATCCCTGATAACCAAAGTAACAAAAGGTACGTCTATCTATCGTGACAGCTCGAAGCGCAGAAAGGACCCGTGGCACCGTCTCTCGGCCCGGCCAATGACACCGGGTCCTTCCTCGGCGCGCATCCCCGTCATTCGCTGCCTTTGCGACCTGCCAGGTTTTTTCTAGAACCTCCCCTCCACATCCACTTCCACGCTTCACCATCGCGCAACCTTACGCAACACCATCACTTCCGACCACTCACCTCTCGCCGTCGTCCCCAACCTTCTGCCGTCATCCTCTCCGAGTCCCGTAGGGCCACCTTTTGACACACAACCACTCCTCACGCAGACCACACTCGCTCACCCAGAACCGGACGCTTCGTCGCATCCCTGCCCGCCGCCCTCATCATCGCCTCTTCGCCCATCCACCACCCACCAGAACCCCAAAAGCTGACAGCGCATTGCCTTCTTTCCAGTCCTGCTTCTACAGCCTCACCAAAGCCAACGAGCCACCACCTGGATCCTTGACCCAGGCTGGTGATCGTCCACGCCAGTTGGAGCCGGATCGAAACTCTCGACGACCCAAGCAGCCAAGCACCCGAATCGAACAGAACAGAACAGCTCGTCTTCTTTTATCTTTATTTTATTTCCCTTTGCCCCACTGCTTCTGCAGCCTTCTTCTCTCTTGGTGCTGCTGCATTGTGTCGACTCCTTTCCCTTCCAAGGACCTTACCAGAGCCTGCGCCGTACTTGCGCCGTACTGTACGACCTGCCTTGCTGCAGAACGGCCTGATCTTCGAACCCCGCGAGTCGGAAAATTCCAGACGAGGGCATCCCCACGGCACCCGACGCCCACGATCAACATTTCACTCCCATCCGCCACGATACCAATCACTGCTGTCGCCTTCGACCTTGCCTCACTTCACCTCTTCTCTCCTCCACCCCCTCCCCCTCCTTCTCATCCACTTTTTTCTCTCTCCCGGTTCAGCGTCCTTAGCTTTAAGGACCGCCTACTCCCGCCAAGGTGGCTTCCAGTCAGCCTCTTCTGGCATCTTCTGGTGCACTCCAAAACATCACCGCCTTGTTACCCACCACCCTCCAGGTCTATATCGACAAGTCCATCGCCAGCCTAGCCAAAGCTATCGCCAACTACTCCGGATACATCTCCGACACCACCGGCATCGATCCGAACCTCATCCTCTACTCCACCATTGGCTGCATCCTTCTCGCAGTCCCCTTCACCATGTCTCGATACGGCTGGTCGACAAATCGGGAACAAATATCCCCTTACGGCTCCACCCTCAGCGGTGTTCCCGACGTTACGGACGAAGACTTTAGCTACATCACTACAGAGGACCTGCAGTCAACCTCTCTTGGTAGCTCTGTCCCGACGAGATCTTACGCCCACAACCCCCGATCCCGTGGCAGCGTCCCCGACGACGACATTCTCCTCATCAAGAACAAGGGCATCACCTACCCCGCCCACTTCCCCGCGTATGCCATTGGCGACGGCAAGCTGCGCGTCCGCGATGTTCGGGACCGAGTAAGCGTCCTGCTGGAGCTGTCCGAGAGACGTGGACGCCGCGTCAAGCTTCTCTACAAGGGCCGCCAGCTCAAGGAGCCCGCTGCGCCCGTCCGGGATTACGGTGTCAAGAACAACAGCGAAGTCATGGTGGTGCTGCCCGAGGGCGAGGTGGACGCTGAGAGCAGCGACGACTCGGACGAGGAAATGGTAGTTGTAGGTGGCGATGGCGGCAGCGCTGTGGGCAGCAACGGCGGCACCGATGACGGCAAGAAGCGCCGTGGCAAGAAGAAGGGTCGCAAGTCCAAGAAGCGAAGCAGCAACACCAGCCCGCGGGATAGCGCATCAAATCTCGGCGTCCCGGGTCAGGAGAGACAAAGCTCGCCCTCCCCCAGCAAAGCCAATGGGCCTCACGCCAAGCTCGATGCCATTGCAGCAAAATTCGAGGCGGATCTTCGCCAGCCTTGTGAGGACTACATCGCCTCGCCCCCGACAGACCCCAAGAAGAGAGAGGAGGAGCACCGCAAACTTTCTGAGACGACGATGCAACATGTGCTTCTGAAGCTTGACGAGGTCGAGACGGAAGGCGACCAGGACGCCAGAATGAAGAGAAAAGCCTTGGTCCAAACCGTTCAGGATGTCCTGAAGCGCCTTGACGCGAGGCTCAAGGCATAAAAGAAGCGAATTGGGGCGTCATTTGGGGGGTGCCTGCTGTTTCTGCAATACGTTTGTTTACTAATAACGGCCTACTTCCGTTGAATTCTTCTAGATGAGCATTTGTGGAGGGTTTCTATTCAGTCAAGCTGCATGTTTTATCAAAGCGAGATTTGCATCTAGAGGCATGCCGCGTAAAATGGCGGATGCGATGGGAGTTAGGGACAGCTTGAGACGGGATGCTGTACAACGATGGCCATTGCTTGAGCAGAAGATGATGCTAGGTAATGGGGAGCAAAGACGACGAGCAGAGGCAGAGGCAGACACAGAGGCGCATAGCACGCCGTAGACAGGAACTGCAAAAACAACCCAAGTGTACTGGGATCTTCACTCCATCCATTGCGCACATGATGCATATGAACACAGCCTTCCAAGTCCTGGACCTGGAACTGGATCTTGGAATAGCCGCATTCTGTCATTGTAGCAGGGCTGCAGCGTGACGTTGTCGACGAGGTCCAGTCGTGGGGATATCCTGGTCTCCCGTTGAACAATTGTGCCATGCTTGACGTCGTTGGCTTAGTCAACGGGTGTCCTTATCTCATGTGACAGAGAGGCCATTATCGATTAATCCGGTATCGGGTATCATTTCCTGCCCGGCCTAGGGACCCAGGGGAGAAAGACGGGAAAGGCCCGGTGAATGGAAGCGGCAGTGACAGACGTGGGCAAGGTGAGTCGTCGATTGGGGTCTGGCCGCCAGCGGATGCCCCGCCACATACCTTACACCGAGGTGAGCCCGCTCTGAAAAGTCAAGGTGAGTCAGCAGAAACCTAACGCTGTGGGCATCGGAAGCGCTGAGCGGATGCGCGCCTTCTGGTAGGTCTTTGCAGCCCTAAGCTGCCTCAGGCCCCACTTCCAACCCTCGCTTGTGATGGAGACTGCCTTGCCACAAAGGGCTAGCGCTATTCATTTTCCTGGCGTGCCATTGGGGGGTTTTGTGTGTGCGTGTGTAAATTTCTCATTGACCTGTCCCCTTCCCAGTTGTGTGCCCGCCCCGATTTCAAGATTGTCGCGACGGCTTCTTCCAAAACTCACCCTCCGACAATACTAACCCAACGGCAGCAGACCAAATCTCTACAGAGGCACCCATTCCGCCCAGAGATTTGAATCCCCCTTTTCCTTCTTTTTTTCAGCAGAACACCGCGAACCGGTGTTTTTAAAGGAACAGGAACGATGTCTTCTTTCGAGCCGGTGGTGAGTCTTTACCGAATTATCTTTGGGGTTCCCGTTTCGAGATATATGGGAGCCGCGGAAATCGACGATGAGGAATTTCGGGATACTTGTAGGAGCGAGGAACACCATGCGATGGAACAATGGCACTTGACTGCAGCCCGTCTTCACGTCAACGCTGCTTCCGCTATTTCAGCTCGCCGCCGCTGTTGTCGCCGGCGCTTCAACAGTCAATCCCGAATCTTCTCATCGGCCGACCGCGAATACATTGTTGGAGATGCAGATCGCTGACTCCAGCACTCTCTACAGGTCGTCATCGACGGCAAGGGCCATCTCCTTGGTCGTCTTGCCTCCATCGTCGCCAAGCAGCTTCTCAACGGCCAGAAGATCGTCGTTGTCCGCACCGAGGCCCTCAACATCTCTGGCGAGTTCTTCCGTGCCAAGCGTATGTCGACTCTCTCTCAACCCTACCCCCACCGGTCGCAACACCCAGTCTGTCAAAAGAGGAGGAAACACCACTGGGAACATGCAAAGACTTGCGGTGCCGACAACCCGAACCGATCGAACATATACTGATGAATGGCTATAGTCAAGTACCACGCCTACCTGCGCAAGATGACCCGTTACAACCCGACTCGCGGTGGTAAGCCAACACACATACACACATATACATCCGGGCTCTGCTCTGTCTCCTAGCTGAGATACTCAACTCGAGGACATTCAAATGTCTGACTTGACCGCTATAGGTCCCTTCCACTTCCGCGCCCCGTCGCGTATCTTCTACAAGACCGTCCGTGGCATGATCCCCCACAAGACTGCTCGCGGTGCCGCCGCTCTTGAGCGCCTCAAGGTCTTCGAGGGTGTTCCCCCTCCCTACGACAAGCAGAAGAAGATGGTCGTCCCCCAGGCCCTCCGTGTCCTGAGACTGCAGCCCGGCCGCAAGTTCTGCACCGTTGGCCGTCTCTCCCACGAGGTCGGCTGGAAGTACCAGGACGTCGTTGCCAGGTATGTACCTCCCACAATGGACCTAGCCCTGGGTTTTTCAATACTGACAAACCCCCCAGACTCGAGGAGCGCCGCAAGGCCAAGGGTGCTGCCTACTACGAGCGCAAGAAGGTCGCTCAGCGCCAGCTCACCGACGCGAAGAAGAACGCCAAGGTCGACCAGAAGACGGCGCAGGCCCTCGAGGCCTTCGGCTACTAAACGTAGTCGACAAATCCCTTTTCGACGTCGATTTTTTTCGGACCTGGCCCTATCTTGAGGGAAATGGAGGAGGAGAGGAGGAAAGGCTTTATCCCCGTTGAGCCGCCACCATACCCACCACCAACGCCCACACGATAGTCCGACCAAAAATGAAAAGACTCGGAGGGTGATTTCTCGCGCATTTCTGTCCTCTTCCTCGCGTTTCCTCATTAGATTGGCGTGGGCGGTTCACAAGGGAAATTCTTCATTTTGCTGATGGCACAAATGGGCTGGTCATTGGAAGGGGGGAATTCAAAAATAAGAGATGATTTTGGGGGGCCCAAACGAGAGAGAAGAGAGTTTTTATGGAGTGAGTCCGAAAAGGCTTCGCTTTGCAAAATCATCATCATCCTGTTCAATACCCCCCCGCGCCGCCGTTCTCGGTGTTTTCGGTAAATTCGGTTCAACCACCAAAAGCACACAAATACGCACCAACCAAAAACCCCCTTTTCTCGCAATAAGTCACAACACAAACACTCAATCTAGATGATTCATGTCCACGGGCTTTTTTTATGGTGTACTTTGTCTTTTTAATGGTGGTTGCCGTAAAAAGATTTCGGGGTTTTGGCTTTCTGAATTATATGGGAATTGATATCACACACTTCAACAACATTCGTCCTGTCGATCAATGGCCTCCCCCATCTCATCCTCTTCTTTTCAATCTTCCCCCCCTTCCCCAGGGTTTCCCCCTTAGACGAACAACCAGTAGTCCCAGATGAGGCGATATTCGAAGAAGAGCAGACGGAAATCAAACGAACAAAAAAGAACTATGAAGAAGAAAAGTATACCACGGCATTTTGGGAGGGGAACCTTGGCGAGGCGTCTTGTGCTTAGAGAAGTAATTGCATTACAATCATGAAGACTTCATGTGAAATGATGATATCAAGTGACGATCTAAGTATGCTGATCAAGTGAATACTACGATCTTCCTTGCTCAAAGGTCGCGAGAAAGTGAAATGATCGATGACGGAACATCGAGGAAAGCAACCCTCCGTCGCACTCAAAAGAGGGTTCCACGCGCGAATCTTAAGCACTCTCATCTCAGGAGTGCAGATTGAATATTGGCAAACCCGCGACGGCACTTAGTAAACGTGACATGTTCGCGACAAGACGCGTTAGTGTGCCCTATCTTATCCCAAGTCCTGAGACCCGCCGTCAATAGACGGCACAATCTTATCGTCCGAGGGTCCAGCTCGGTGTGCCCCAAAACTCACATGGCGAGGCTTTTGTGAAAATCGAGGCGGAGTAGCTGCTAGCCTGAGTGACAGGCTCCTCTCGTAGACGTGGGTTCCGGCTGCAGCTGCAAGTCATGAGCCGTTCGCTGATTGACGGCCCTTGAACCCTTCAGGTGAGGTCATCGAGCGGCGCCGAGGTCAACGCGCAGGCCAGAAAGGAGGACGGCTCTCTTTCGGGCGAAGCCTCTCCTTGCGCAGCGTGGCCGGGGCTGCACGCTACATGGGCACACACCAGACCAAGTGCTTCAACAATGGGCGATTGGTTTAGTGGTATAATGACCGCTTAGCATGCGGTAGGTCCTGGGTTCGATTCCCAGATCGTCCAACCTTTTGGCTTTCCCGGCCTCAATCTTACCTTTTGCCAATTGTGAATGATGTCCTTTGATGCAGTTGTAATCTGGATTTTTTCTAAGTGAGAATCAAAGTGTGTTGTATCTTATTGCGTGTATCTGTCCGCTTTTTGTTTACCTGCTCTGAAGGAAGCAGGTGCTGTTTGTGCTTGCCAATGCGAGGCTGAGTGAGCTGGGTGCATGTTTGTGGTCCGTGCTTCGACTTCATGTCAACATCAAGACGCGCCTTGAGTTGCTCAATAAGTGCCGTTGCTTCATCATACAGCAGGCACTTGATCGCTAAATTGAAGATTGCGAGTCTTCAGGTCGAGGGTATTTTATAGAGACATTGGAGACTGTGTACAGCGACATACAGCCCAAGATGACACAAAATATTGAAAATTCCATGCATTCTCATTCAAAACCAGTGAATAAAAATACTGAAAAAGAAAAGTAAGTCATCGCAACGCGTTTGAACTTTGTTTTCCCTCGTAAAACTGTTTCTTGACGCGTTTGAACCTTAATGAGAGACTTTGTTAATGTTTCTTCGCTTACAGAGAGTTCGAGGAGGCATCGGCCGTGGTTGCGAAACATGTCAAGCTCCTGCGGGAGTACAACCAGATCAAGGATGTGGGGCAGCAGCTGATGGGTATGGTTGCCGAGAAGAGGGGCGTCACTGTGGGAAGTCTGTATGAGACTCGCGAATTTGGAGTTGGGCCAAAGGATTGAGATGGGGATGCGGTGGGCTGGGAGGTGTGTCGCGATTGCGCGTGGAGGAAGTGTGCGGCAGACTATGGCTGATGCTGCGTGCTTGATCAATCAGACACGGTTGATGAGGACCAGAGTGCTCTCGAGACAGTAAGGGTGAAGTATGTGTCTGACCTGACACCATAAAAGCCTGCCGTGACATGAGCGTCCAACATTCAGTGCTACATAAGCCTAGTACCATTGCTTTTTCCGGAGAGTTTCTGAATTTGGAGAAGAGATGTGTAAAAAATAAGGTAGCAGCAAATTGGAGAATAAAGGCATGAGAGCAAAGACAAAAAAAGAGTTTCAATAGATCGAAGGTGTCTCCGACGGGAAACGAACATACTTCTCCATCCAGTCGTCGCCGTTGCCCTCCCGATCTTGATCATCGTGTAAACCGCAAATATCAGCCCTGCACAACGCTCCATTAACCTCTGAGCACCTAGTACCTGTAATGTCTTGCAAGTACTGTGTTTCGCCGCGAGAGGAAGTGTCCGGATCGCCAGCCTTACTGTTTTCGCTGTTTTCGTTGTTCTCGATGTCTTTGATCAGCAATGCCACTTCTGACGGCAACGTCAGGTCATCAAATTTCGCCTCCTCTCTACTAGTTCCACTTGCTGCCTTCATTATCATCTCGGCTTCCACGTCATACCCGAAGAATTGCTGTAGGGGCTCAAGATTGTCTTGGAGGTCTCCGTTGTCAGAAGAGCCGCCTTCATCCCCCACGAATCCTTCAAAGTGATGCTCCGGCAAGTTGTACGTCTCGTCAAACAGCTCATAATCAGCTTTATCCCAACGTCGAAAGCTCCGTAACAACCTTTCAACGGCGAGGCGCCCTCGTTTCCGCGCTAACACAACAGCTCTGATGTACTGGAGACGGCCGGTTCCTTCAGTCGAGACGCCAGAGTCAAGGAGGAGCTGCACAACGTCTAATCGGCCATTCTCTGACGCCGTCTCTATAGCAGTCCGCCTGAACTCCGTCTTGCCTGGGATGTCTGGATCTGCATGCAATTCTAGCAATCTTTTCACGACGCCGAAGAAGCCCATCATAGCTGCCTCTGTCAACGGCGGATGACATAAGAAGTCCTCATGGTACTCATTGACATCGGCGCCCATTCTTACAAGAGTCTCCACGAGGGCGATGTCGCCTACAGTGGCCGCAGCTTTCAGCGGTGTTCCACAGATTCTTTCACTCTCACGCCAGTGCACGGTGTTGACACCGATGCCAGACGACAAGTACCAGTCCATAACCGCGGTAGACTTTCGAAGAATAGCTCTCGTTAGAAGCACCCTGTCCAGTGTGGCTTTGGTTCTTTGTAGAAGGGGGAGGATAGCCAGGGCATGTGGATTGTCAGCAACACGTGAACAATCGACGTTGAATTGGTGGCCATTTTGCACCAATCTGGCGACGCAATTCGGTGAAGATAAGAGCGCATGAAAGGTTAATGGCTGATGCTCCTCATACTGTCGCGTTTCCTCGTCAATCGCTTCGAGATATAGCTCTTCGTACCGCTGTAAAGACACCTTGGGGGGCCTGTTAAAAGGTACGAACATCTGGGGGCCCAAACCTCGGTATGTCATTTGCGGAGGGCACAGTCCTGTCATAAGAATTTCATCGGCCACATCATCGATGCCAATTCTCATTGCGAGACACATCGCTGATCCGAGCCAATGGTGTTCGCTGGTCGGAACTTGAGCATGTTTGCTCAGCTCTAAAAGCTTGTGGAATAGGACCCAGTCAAATGTATACTCGGCCATATAAACAGCTGCAAAGACTGTCCTTGTCGAGAACTCGGCCGCGTCCATTAAACCTATGATCTGTAGAGCCATCCGAGAATCTTGGACCAATATAGCGGCTTCGAGAGGTGATAGCTCGTTAAGAAGACTTGGTGCGGTGAGCGATGCCCCAAGTGCCAGTATCTGCTCTGTTGAGGAGGCCAGGCGAGTTCTGATCGACATCGCTAGCTCTTCCCCGAATAGTTTTGCCCCGCAGGAGAGTAGGAATAGGGCGTTTTCTTCACTGCTGCAAGACAAAGCTGCTTGTAGTGAGGTTCTACCCAACTGGCCTACAGATATGATTCCATGGAAGAAGCCCCAGGTGACCACCTCGCGTTTTCGGTAGCGGCGAGGGCCTTCGGCATAATCTCCTGCAAAGGGTTGACAGAAGTTGACATCAGCACCGTGATTCAGCAAGAGTTTAATGAGTCTTGGATCGGCACTGGCCGCGGCACACTGAAGTGGCGTGGTGAACACGAGGGAACCGACTTCGACAACAGGGTTTGGTATTGCTCCGAGCCCCAAAAGGCGTTTGCACAAGGAATAGTTGTTCCTAGAAGCTGCAACCCCTAGGACCGACTCTCCAACGAAGTTCATGTAGTTGAGACAGTCTCGGTGCTTAGAGACCCACTTGAAGACCGATTTGCTGCTGGTTTTGACAGAAGTGATGAGAAGTTGAGCAAGAGAGGTTGCACTCTTGAATTTGGATTCGAAAAATTCGAGGATAGGCTCTGTAGCGGAAGAATGAGTTCTCATCCCAAGTTCATTCAGAAAGACGCGAGACATGATCTCGTCATCTTCTTGGTATCGGTAAACAGATAGTACCCATCTCGTCATGATCCCGACTGAAGGCTCATGAACGACTTGTGCTGAG